GTTTCGCTGAATCCCCAAACAAAAAAAATAAACTTTTTATGATTGCGGAGCCCTTAGAAAAGAAAATAGCAGAAGACCTAGAAAGAGGCATCATCAGTGATAAGTGGGATCAAAGGTAATTTGTTTTATTTTATTTTATTTTTATTTTATTTATTTTATTTTATTTTATTTTGTTTTATTTTATTTTGTTTTGTTTTGTTTGTTTTTGTTTTGTTTGTTTTTGTTTTATACTTATATTTATTTTAAGTAGCTGAAGACCTAGAAAGAGGCATCATCAGTGATAAGTGGGATCAAAGGTAATTTATTTTATTTTATTTTTATTTTTATTTTATTTATTTTATTTTATTTTATTTTATTTTATTTTATTTTATTTTATTTTATTTTGTTTTATTTTATTTGTTTTTGTTTTATACTTAAATTTATTTTATGTATATTTGTGTAAAATAGCTGAAGACCTAGAAAGAGGCATCATCAGTGATAAGTGGGATCAAAGGTAATTTATTTTATTTACTTTTTTATTTTATTTTATTTTATTTTATTTTATTTTTTTTTGTTTTGTTTCATATATATATATATATATATATATATATTACATATATTTATTTATTTATTTATTTATTTATGTATTTATTTATTTACGTATTTATTTATTTATTTACTTTGTTTTTCTTCTTTTTTCTTTTTTTTTTATACATTTAACTTAACCTCTATTTACACAAACCCTTACACAAACAAAACAAACAAAAAAAACAAAATAAATAAATATATATTTTATTTTTTTTTAATTTTTTTTTCTTTTTCTACAGAACACAAACCCTAAACCCTTAACCACTAACACTAAAACCCTAAACCCTAAACCCTAAACCCTAAAACAAAAAAAAAAACAAAATAAACAAATTTATTTTATTTGTTTTTAATTTAATTTTTTTTTATACAGAACACTAACCCTAAACCCTTAACCACTAACACTAAAACCCTAAACCCTAAACCCTAAAACAAAAAAAACTAAATAAATTTATTTTATTTTTTATTTATTTTATTTTTTTTTAATTTATTTTATTTTCTTTTTAATACAGAACGCTGGGAGAACATTTCTCTTCTCAGTATGGATGGGATTTGCTTGCTGCTCGTTCTGTTTGGGCCTTCGGCCCCGCAGAAAGAGGTATTTTATTTTTATTTTTATTTTTATTTTTTTATTTTTTTATTTTTTTTATTTTTATTTTATTTTATTTTCTCTTTTTATTCCTGTTGTTTTTTTTATTCTTTTTGTTTTCGTTTTTTTATTTTTATTTTTTTACTTTTTATTTTTTTCTCGTTCTGTTTGGGCCTTCGGCCCCGCAGAAGGAGGTATTTTTTTATTTTTATTTTTTTATTTTATTTATTTTATTTTATTTTATTCTATTTTATTTTTATTTTATTTTATTTTTTTTCTTGTTTATTCTTGTTTTTCTTGTTTATCCTTTCTGTTTTTTATTCTTTTTATTTTCTTACTTTTTATTTTTTTCTCCTTTTATTTTTTTCTTCATATATTTATTTGTTTATTTATACATATTTATATTTATTTATTTATTTATGTTTATATATTTATATTTATTTATTTTTATTTA